CAGTAGCTGATGTGATAGGTTAAATATACTGAGTATCTGTATTCACAGTATTCTGTGTTTTGCTTACTCCACTGTTATAATACTAACATGTAAAGATGAGCCATTGGCTTTGAATTGTTCTTAAAAAGAAAGAAATTGGTGCCCTTATGACCTTCTCAGGATAAAACCTGAAATGTTTTTATCAATTTAAGATAAAATAGCTCTAGTATTCATACTAGTTTTATTTTTAAAGGAAATCTTTTTACTTGGTTTAATTTTGTTCTTTAGGTTTGCAAAATATTATTATAATATACACAGTTGAGTTTTTTTCCCTGAGAAAACAGTAGAGATTTTGATCAAAGACAAATGATTTTATTTCACTATTGTTGACTGTAACATTTGTGTTTTTGAGGTTAATTCCAGTGCATTATTTTTAAGGAACAGAATTGAATATAGACAAAGAAGAATCAGTGGAGGATAATCTCATATGCACACAGTACATGTAGAGTGACAGTTGAGAAAAATGCTCAGATAAGATTTACTGATCAGCTGTTTGCTTGAATGCAAAGTCCTTAGATACTAACCTGGGTTAATTCCTAGTGCTTATTCTACTCACGAGATACAATGATGGATTTCATTTCTTATTCTCATTGGAATTGAAAGGTTTTTTTATTAAGTGATGATGTACCAATAACCTGAAGCTGTGGGAAAACAAGAAAACTCCAGAAAAGCACCTTTGAAAGTGAGAATCAAGTCCCAGAGCTTTTGAGTCTTAAGAACTAAAACTAATCTAGTCATGTCGAAAGAACTGTAAATGTGTGCTGAATTTCAGTCAATATGACTGATTACCTGTCACTTATCTCTCATTTCTTCCCACTGTATTTTAGAAGCTCTGCAGCAGTGTGTATTAGCTGTTAGCTCACCTCCACTTGAGCTTCTTGAATGTTTTTGAGGCACTGTAAGCATCATAGTGTCATCACTCACTTCATTTTATCATCCTCATTGATGCTGCTCAAACTGAAACTCCAAGAAAGTTTCAGTGTGGATAACAGGATACTAGGCAGCGCTGATATAGGAAGGTCTACATGCTTAAGTTGTGTAATCATTGGGCTTCATTTCTCTAGCTTTGGATTCTTCACTATATGTGATTGAAATTTAGTTGTGACATATTTCATAAGTTAAGCACATCAACAGATAAATGATTTTTAAATTTAGAACTATTATTTAATGATTTGCTTTCCTTAAGATTCCATTTTTGACAGACTGCAAAATCTTGACCATGCAGTATGCATTGCCACTGGTTTTCTATGTGTAAATTATTCAGACATGCACACATCACTGAAATTTGTAAAGTTCAACTTCTCAGTGCAGTCAGAGGGAAGTAAGGTCTTGCTCCTTTGATACACCCCTTGTCACTCATAGAATGAGTCATAGAATCACAGAATGACTTGGGTTGGGATCTTGTAGATCACTTTCAACCCCCTGCCCTGGTCAGGGTTGCCACCCTCCAGCTCAAGCTGCCCAGGGCCCCATCCAACCTGGTCTTGAGTGACTCCAGGAATGAAGCATCCACAACTTCTCTGGGCAGCCTGTTCCAGGACCTCACTGCCCTCTGAGTAAAGAATTTCCTCCTAATATCTAACCTAAATCTCCCCTCTTTTAGTTTAAAACCATTCTCTCTCATCTCATCTCCCTCCTTCAAGCTTCTTCAAGTTTTGGAAGGCTTCAGTGAGGTCCCTGACCCTTCCTCTTCTCCTAGCTAAACAAGTCCAATTCCTTCAGCCTTTCTTCATAGGAAAGGTGCTTCAGTCCACTGATCAACTTCATGGCCATTCTCTGCACCTGTTCCATTAGCTCTGCGTCTTTCTTGTGTTGGAGGCCCCCCAGGCCTGGATGCATACTCCAGATGGGGCATCAAACAGCAGAGAAGAGAGGACAATCACCCTGGTGACAATTTGATGCAGCCCAGGGTACAGTTGGCCATCCAGACTGCAAGCATACACTGCTGACTTGTGTCCAGTTTTTTATCCACCAGGATCCCCAAGTCCTTTTCCTCAGGGCTGCTCATCCTTTAAGAAATCCAGCAACAAAATGACAAAATGACAAAAAAAAAGCATTAAAAGGAGATTCATGCAACTAGAAGACCCATGAGAGAATCTGCAAAATTTCGTAGAAATATTTAAGCAGTATAATCAGTGCTATGTAAGTTTGTCCAAGATCCTTGTCCCATAATTTATAGAAGCTGCAGAGAATAAATTTTTCAGGACATTCATAGAATCATAGAATCATAATCACATTCAGAAGCAGAAAGCTTGTTTCAGTGTATCTCTACAGCAAATGGAGATAGTAGTCAATACTGGAGAAATAGACAATAAAAATTGCATAATGCTTAAATATCATAGCAAATTCACAGCACAAAGTACTGCCTTCTGGAAATAGAATATTAAGGATCTGCAAAATATTCTTTCCGGTACATTTTATGTCCAGCATGTGCAAACACTCCAAATGTCTTCTTTTCTTTACAAAGACTGTTTTCTGAAGATAAAAAGGGTTTTCATGCTATGCATTACATCCTGTTGAAATTCCTCCTTGAGCTGGCAACAATATACATTGTTTGTTCTGATTTATTTTATTCCAGTAGTATGTTGTTGAAATAGCACAATTAGTAGTTCCCACACACTATGAAAGTGCTATTGCTAGAGAAGGCTGGCAGTGTAATTACATACTACATCTTCAGAGATCTGACTCTGGCAGAGTTGAGGATTACTTCAGAGTTTCAAATTAATCTGCATGACCCTATCTTTATTGGTGTTGAATTTCTGGAAGTGATGAAATGCCAAGTCATTGAAAATAACTGATATAGGCCTAAACAATCTGAAATGAGTAATGTAGTGTTTCTTTGACTTCATCTAAGTCCCATACATTTTACAGCCAGGTATAATATTTTATAGGGAAATGTTTGTTTTAATGAATCTCAGTGCTCTTCGGTTCATTAGGAATATATCAACAAGACAAAGAAGGAAAAATCTAGTGCTCTTACATTTTATGTTCACCAACAATTTGTCAGTAAAGAGCATACACTGCAGCAATGACTTCTGTGATGAGCACAAGTGTCTGTAAAAGACATGGACATCATTTCTGAAATTTCACAGTGAAAGTGTAACAGAGGGATTCAGGTGTAGGTGAAGCCCTCTTGGGTATATTTTCTTCCACCTCTTTGAAGAAATCTCCACAGCAGACACACAGTAATAAGCATATTTGCAAATGACGTTATGTCACAGTAGGATTTGTGATTGTCTCCTGCATACCACATCAAAATTTTGTTAGAGTCATTAAAATACAACTAAGGAATAGCTACTCAGTCTTGATAACACTGTACATCAAGGTGCTCATTTCCAGCAGTTAAAACAAGAAGACAGTGTAAATGTCCCTGCTTTGCATTACTTTAGAATAAAATGGTGAAATGATAATTACACAATCTTTAGTAGTTCAGTCAATGAATGCTACAAAGCCGCACATGATAATGTCCAAATGCAGAGCTAACAGAGGCAGACTTTGCTTACGGGGATTGTCTCAAACAAATAAAGCCAGTACTGCCTTCAGATAGAGTATGTAAAGTGAGTTATAGGGGAAGGAAGCAGACAAAAATCATTTTTTCAGGGCAGTCCAAGAGTCAATTAAATAGGTACTCTGGTTCAAACTATTAGCTCACAGAAAAGCAGATTCACTCTTAGTCCAGCAATGTGAATGTCAGATTTTCCTTCACCTGGAAATACCAAGAAGCAAAAAGCTGGCACAGCATACACTGTAAGGAGTAAACGACAAGGAGCAGCATATGCTGTTTAATTCAGCTGCGGGACGTGGAAGTCATCTGTCCTCCTGTCAGCAGATATATAGCTTCTCAGAACCTTGCTGTGGGACATGTGACTAAACAACTGCCAGGGGGAAATCTCTGACATGTCCCCTCAGTGTGACCCCACTATTCACAGAAGCTTGTCCTCCTGTACTCCTGAGAAAGAGATGTAGATGCCCTCCTGCCTTCTCACATGCAGGGAACAGACAAAGTCTTTGTCAGTGCTCTGCTAAGCTGATGGGGCTGCTCTGATGGAGCTGCAGGAGTATAGCAGTGACCATGAAACAGTCGACAGGGCGAGGAAGGTAGGCCTCCGCCCTGCACAGTACTGTGCATCTGCATGATGTCAAACACTGAGGGCAGCTCCTGATGGAACTGAAGTCAGGACTGGCTCAAAGTGCTTGCAGACTTTGCTTCTTGCTTTTTTTTATCACTATGACCAGCACTTTTGCAAAATTGCTCTTTCTCTGAATGACAACATTTTGTCCTTACATGTTAATGATTTCTAAAAAAGTGTATGCTTTTCTGGATGTTTTTACCTTTTTCTACTCTTAGTGTTAAATAAGCAGAAAATAAAAATGTGCAGAGCTGGAGATTTACGTTTGCCCCTGTAATTTTACTAAGTGCGCCCTCTGGTGGCCAATGGGTGAACAAAGCTTTTTATGTCTTACCCCCTCACAAGGAGTTGTACATGTCATTATAATACTGAGTATTACGGGTAATGGGTGGAAACACTTTTTCTATTGAATTTTTCCTTTCAAGTACTTTGACATGCATAGATATGTGCTCTCAAATAAAATAAGAATTCAGATACTAAAAACTGTATTGAACATAGAAGAAAGTAAATGCTCATTGTAAACATGTGCCGTCTGCAAGTAGAATTAAGTTCAGTTGAGTTGATCATATGTGTAAATTACAAAAAGAGAGACAGAAAAACAGAAAGATGCTAAGATCCCTGCAGTCGCATTGTTCCAAAATGAGCAAGTAGGGGAAATTAGCATATTTGGTGGGTAACACATTGATCTATCTAATCCTTTGTATCCTCTAAACTTTTGGGTTTTTGATCTCATTATTTCAATTGGATGTTTTATGTCTGTTTATTTTGTACAGGCTCCATGTTTTTGCTACGTTGTTTATCTCGAGATTGAATTTTACTACTTTCTTGCAGGTATCTTTCATTTGAAAGTGCCCGAGTCCTCTCATGTTGGTTCTGCTATTGGAAGAATCAGAGCTGTGGATCCTGACTTTGGGGAAAATGCAGAAATTGAGTACAACATAGTTCCAGGAGATGGAGGTAACTTGTTTGACATCACAACAGATGAGAACACCCAGGAAGGAGTCATTAAACTTAAAAAGGTATGTGGCAAAGATGTGTTGTGTGTACCCATGGCTCAAATGAGAAGCTAAGAAAAAATTATTTTATGGAAGTGTTTGCTTTAAAACTGTGGGGGGAATACTGTGGTTCGGAACATTAAGTGAAGAAGTAATGTTTTACATTTGGGATCATATATTTCATTTTTTATTTGTAAGCATTTTGGTTTGATTTTTTTAAACATTTTATGTTTATTATTTTTAATAATAAAACTTCTGTTCAATACTTTGGTGATCACAATTCTTAATTGGATTAGAAGACTTGCAGATGGTTTCAAAGCCATTGGTCCTACCTCCAGTCTCCTTTTACTGTCCCAAATGGATGATTTTCAGATATTCATTTGAGGGAGTAAACCCCGACTTAGCTGTTAATAATGTCTCTATGTACTAGAAGAAAAAAAATAAAAGGAAAGATTATTAAATATATTGATTTCAAAGACAGAGAGAATAAACATTGTTTGGAATGTGATGAATAAAGTATTCACGAAGAGAGACCCAAAATAAGGACGATCTCATTTTAACCAATAGCACCTTATAGGAATTTTAGGATGTATAATTGACCCATAATTTGAGAGGTGGAGGGGGGAGTGATAAATAACACAATGAATGCTGTATACAGATATGTTATTCATTGTATTCGTTTTGCTGATTTGTTTAGTCTTTCCAGTAATAATTTACAGCATATCTGAAACCTTAGAGTGCGTTTGTAATAGCAGGAGGATCTTGTAATCAATAAGTTGGTTGATGTTGCCAGATGGAAATGTTAGAGTATTAATCTATGTTAGAGTGTATTCTGTGCCAAAAACATGGAGGAGGAAAAAAATGAAAAATAATGATCCTAGTACCCTCCTAATCTTCATCACAACAAGTCTGGGAACTGTGATGGGCTGCAGAGATCAGGGAGACTATCTTTGTTCTATGCAGGAGCATGAAAAAAAGATAAATTTTAACAAATGGATTCTTCAGCAATAAGTGCCTTTATATAGATCCTAGATCTTACCCTTCATGTTTTGTGGCTTTTGTTTTTGTTTTTGTTTTTGCTTTTTTCTCAAGTAGAAAGTCCCTTTCACTAATCCATAAATGTTTCAGGTGTTTAAGACATTTTGGAATCACCCAAAATCCATCCGATTTCTGTGCTGGATCCTGAGTTAAACAAAAGCAGTCCAGATTTTTAAGCTCAGATGTCTTTTAATCTTTTCTACACTTGTAGCAATACAGACATATTTTCATGGGTTGTAGTTTCCAGATTTTCAGAAGTGCTGGACATTCACATTTCAATAGACAACTACTAAAATTCATGCTACTGATATTGTACCTGCAGCAGCACTATTTATTTGCCTGCAAAGAAGCAATTTCAAAACACTTATTTGACCTTCTGGGATGACACAAGTACTTACATTAGGTATGTACTTAAGTAATTCTTTAAATCAGAGTCAGTGAATGAATAGGATCAACACTGTGAATTATAAGTAATACTCAATAAAAACAGTTAATGAAAAGTGTGCTTTAAAAGCAAATTAGCACTTGTTTCTGTACCACAGCATACTCCAATGTTGTATGTACTGCAGTAATCCATCACTGAGCCATTTCAAGTACATCTTTGTCATTTATAAATTTTCCTTATATTTTTCCTGAAATTTTTTTTGCATGCAGAAAAGTGTCAGCCATTGCACAGATGCCTTTTGATTCCATTGTTATGCAAAAAATCCCATGGAGCCATTTCTTTATCAAAATCAAGAAAGTGGAAGCCTTCCTGGACTATGTTTACATTGGTGGAAGGAACATTTGCTAACAAAAAGCCTAATTGCTCTTTTCAGCACATTAAGTGAATTGCTGGCGACAAAAGCCCATTTACAGTGTCTCAGACATTGAATAAGCATGACCAGCTAAAACTGGGCAAGGTACATGTCTTAAATCATTCATCTGGGTTGCTAGTTTATTTGCATGCTGTGATCCAATATAAGCTTGATTACTGCTGCTCTTGCACTATTTACATATTTTAAAATTTGAATGCATTTTATTGTCTTCTGCCAAAGAAATGATAAAAATGCCATTTAGCACCACTGTGTGGATAGTACTGTAATTGCTTCCTCTCCTTCTTAAAATAAGTAAATAAATAAATGAATAAATCATATTTTGAACTGAAGAAGGAGGAATTGTCTGGCTTTAGGATACAAGAATCTGGCATACTAGGGATAGAATGGCCAGTCTCTTCCCTTGTCCAGCCCTGTCCTCTACTGTGTTTTTGGGTTTTATGCTTATGTAATACCTGTCATCCTACCTGGTTACTCAAAAAAAGACACAGAGCGTAAACTGAAAGAAGTGGGGAGCCAGAAGGGACTGATTTCCTCTGGACCAATGTATTGTGGACATAGAGCAGTTCTCCCATGTATAGGAGAAAAAGTCAGATCTAGACAAGCTCCTGGTTCTTTCTAAACTGAGATCTATAAAGATCACATACAGCAGGAAATAGAAAACAGAAGGATCCAAACTTTGCTGCACAGTTAGCCCTAGCTTTAATTAAACCAAGGATAAATGCACAGAAGCCTCAGCATAAGCCAGAAATTGGGCAGGATTCAAGTATTGACCCTGACTCAGACACTACTTTTCTAACCAAAATGTCCCAAAAACCCAGGAGAGAGATGTTTCTGGTCTCCTTCCAGGTTCAGTCCTGCTGTGCTGAAGGCAGCCCCTTTTTCCTTCCCCATGCTACATATTTTTTGCAAAAATTGTTTGCCACATGGTCATGAGTAACTGGAAGCATCTCCCTTGCCTATGTGCTATACTCCAAATATGACACTTCAACTCCTCCTCAGGCAGCAAACAGGAGATTCCCAGATGCTGGTTGACTTCTCCCCTTCTCTGCATACAAAACACACATTCATTTTACCCACTTTCCATTAAATGTCTGAGCACTCAAGATTTGACCAGATCTGCTGTGCTTGTTGTAGGTTTGTTGTAGAGATCTCTCTCTCTTTTTTTTTTTTTTTTAAACTGTGTGTTCTCAGCTCTATAACTGATGAATGTTTCTGTTTGACCCGGAGATTCCTTTAACTAACATACTCCGTAGCACTAGCTATTTACTAAAGCTATTTAAAATCCATTGCAGAAATACAACTAGTGAAAAGTGTCAGTGCACAGCAGCGAATGGTCTAATAGCTTGCATTTCACATATAACAACTCAGCCCATTTTTAAGTGGAAAGCATTACTAGGCTTTCTGACAGGCACATGAGACAGAGTATGGAAGACAAGTCTAAGATAGCACTCGCTTCCTCTCAGTGCAGAACACAGTTCTGCTGCCTATAACTAATCATAGGTCTTGGGATTTACAGTCTCTTTCCTTGGCTTTTCTGTTGTTGTAGTTGTAGATCATGAATGGCTATATAACAAACAATATTATTGTCTCCAGAAATTTCTGGAGTTTTCAGCCCTGCCTCTTTGTGAAGACTAAACTTACAGGGTAGTCCTTTTTATGCCCTAGCTATGCTTCTCATTAGAACTTATTATATTTTTGTCCCTTTTTTTCTATTTCAGTTCTTTAATCTAAGTGTGTATAGATACAAGATGCAAAATGCATTAAAAGTACAAATAAAATGAGAAGCATGTATCAGTCTTTCTTCACCACTATCTTCAGTACAGAAAACGGTAATGTTTACAAAGAAATTTATTTTTAAACTAGAGTTTTTTCTGTGCTTTCCTAATTATACTAAACAAACCCGTTCATGGTACTTCCTGACTGAAAGATAATGTGATTTGTCTTTATGTGTTATTTAATTTTGGGATCTGTGAAACACCTTTGCTGCACACAGCTGTGTATACGCTGATAGCATTTTACTATGCAACTGCATAGAGCAGCTTAAAGCCATGACAGAAAAGACAAGAATGGAGGGGGACACGTACATCTGTTCTGACACTGGCACGTAGAGTATCAAGTAGAAGTACTCCCATAGTTGCTGAGTAGTCCACAGATAGTTAAAAGCTTCCTTAGTTTTATCTGTAGTGCTGTTTACTCTGGGCAAAAATCCTACTTATTCTAAAATGAAAGCCTTGGTCAAACAGTTGTTTTTGTTGTTGCTGTTGTTGTTGTTTTTGTTATGTTTTTTTTTTTTTTTCCTATAATTATCTCTTATCTTAATCTTCAAGATGTTTTTTTTTAAGAACGGAGCATTCTCCCTAACATTCTACTGGGTTTGTATCCTTAACAGCTTTCCAGACTGTAAATGAACATGGAACTGGGTACTATCTGCTAAAATTAGGTTTCAATCACTCATTTCTTTTATAAATCTTAGTGATAATCTATTAAATAAGGCATATAAATAAATGCTATTCTAACATCTTCAAAAATAAAAACTCATTTTTGTTTTTCTGAGAGCTAGGCAGACTTTGAATGTTTTCTGTTTTCAAAGGCAGGCTCTAAGCATAACAGATGAATGCCAAAACTTGAGACTGTCAGTATGTATATGCATGGATCAACTGTGCAAAACTGGGTACAGAACTGATCAGAAGATGGCCTTCCCACAAACACAATCATTTTAAACCATACTCATTTACTGCATGACATGTTGCACAAAATATTTTTCATTTTGAAATTAAATCCTGTTTACTGCTTGCAGTCTTCCCACCTTTCCACAAGCATGTGAGCTGCAGGTCAATCTCCTGTATATTAAAAGGCTATAGTCTGCTGTTTTGTGGGAGTCTGTCACTGATTCCTTCCTGTGGTGATGGCTCAGCTCTTTCAGACTGTGTCTTCTTATTTTGAGTGCCATCTGTGCTTTGAATACTGTTTAACCTCCAACTATATTTATCTGTCCATAGGAGGACAGAAGGAGAGAACTGGTTGCTTACGTTACAAAGGGAAAATGTGTTTCTTTCTTGGCAAACTGTCTTTTCAAAAATGTACCACAGCATTTCTTCTTAGTACTTGGGAGGGATAAGTAAAGCAGAAACTGTGTCTGGTTTCTAGATATTGTGCTGTAAAATATGCCGAGAACTGCCTGGAATTTTATTTCTTTCTGTCCATCCCAAGACAAGGATTGTGTTCCTTACATCATGAAAGTTGTGTACTGGGCATTCCCATGGACCAGGAACTGGTACTTCTGCCTTTAACTCTGCCTTCAAGGACCACATTTAAATCACTTCTTGTTACTAACACACCTGTCTTCAAATATACTTGAGCATAAGAGGAATCAGGTTTTGTGCATTTTGAGGGGGTATGGCCAATGCAAGCAAGGCATCAGTTAGAATTACTATTTATCCGGGAGCTTAGATTTCTTGTTTACTCTGTTTTAATCTGTATCTCTAGCTTAACCCCTCTTAACTACTTATTTTCCACTCCAGACTGGTTCTGTGAACTCCAGGTTTTCTTCTCCTAAAATATTTTTTAATAGATATTACAATCTACTGTATAAGGATTTGTTTTGCTTGCTCCATTTGGGGGGATTTTTTTGTAATATACAACAGTGAACATGAATATTATAGAAATTGAAAGAAGACTATGACAACAATTTGGACAGTGAATCAGCATGTCCTTTTGTAGCAAAGGCAATAGTTAAGGGATTCATCACTTGAGAATAAGACCTTCCATGTTTTTTTTTGTTTTGTTTTGTTTTGTTTTTGTCGCCTTTAGCTTCTTAGCCTTAGTTTCTTCTTCTTGTAGTCGTGGTGCTTGAACTCATACTGGCTTTTACTGGGAATTTTATCTGTAGAAGGATGGCTCCATGTGACAGTGGATTGGTCAGCAGCGTTTGGCTTTTAAGCTAGATTATTTCTAGGACATATGTTCTAGAATGGCTAATTATAAATCCTCAACTCTGACCATACATTCTATTAAAATTATAATGTTTTTCATAAGAATTTTAAAGCATTATGCTAGCATCGCAGCAAATGTAAATCAAAGTAACTCCACTGATTTTAATGGAGCTGCCTCAATTTACACCAACCAGGCATCTGGTCAATTATGTCTTGTTGTGTAATGGACAGAAAATGTCATAATTTAAATCTATCCCAGCTGTGACAAATAGCTGGAAACACTGTGGTAATGACGTCTAGAGAAAAAAAAAAATAAATTAAAAAAAAAAAAAGATGTTAAAGCTCCTACACTTGTGATCCTGCCCTCTTTTCTAGATATCCTTTCACATTTGGAAAATTTCTATCTCGACAATTATAGGCAGAAGCCACTAGGTGCCAGTCTTACCCAGATGTCAGGAAAATCTTCCTTAACTAATGTTAAGAACATGAAAGCCAATGCAGCAAAACCCTTTAACTGAAAATAAAGCTTTTGTGTCTTTTCAACTAAATATCACTGCATTAAGGTTTCAAGATGATTGCTTTTCTAAAACCAAAGATACTAAATTGACGTATATTGACACAAACCCATATGAAAACAAACTGACTGAAGAATGCATTTCCATCAAAAACTCAGATAGGTACAAAAGCTGCTATGATGCCTTCAAGGTGGTAGCAGTTATACCTTGGATCTTAAGGCAGACTAAAGACTGCATTTTCCACATACATGCTTCTCAAATATACCTCTTGAATAGCAGTTCACTGCTAAGATAACTGTTTTACAGGAATTCACACTGCAAGTCTTATGTGAAAGTTGATTTGACCCATTATTATAGCAGGGTTTTCACTTGAAATCATTTATATTGTTGTCATGTTTCCCTTTTCTGCTAAAAGAAGTTCAAATCTTCTGTTAATGAACTAGATCAACTGGGGATGGCTTACTGCCTGTGCATGGAAATTGTGAATGCTGATCTCCAACTAGCATGCACATAGCTCTTTCGCAAAAGGTAAACTTCAGACAGTTAATTTCAGACATTTACAGAAACTGTTTACATCCATGTCTGTCATTCTGATTTTTTTTTTTAATGTGAAAAAGCAGTCAAGATCAATCTAGACTATTTCAGAAACCACCTTAGCATGAGATGTCCTATCTATTCCTCTTCAGTGACTACAAAACAAATTTAAATGATCAGTACAGAAGCTGAAGTTTACACTGAAGACATCTTAATTTGTAACAGATTAATCCTACCACGGTGAATTTGCAAAATTTAATTTTTTGTCAGGGCTGATATTTTGCTTTTGTTCTTTCCACAGCCATTAGACTTTGAAACAAAAAAGGCATATACCTTTAAAGTAGAGGCTTCCAATCTCCATCTTGACCATCGATTTCACTCAGTGGGTCCATTCAAAGACACTGCCACTGTCAAGATAAACGTGTTGGACATGGATGAGCCTCCAGTTTTCAGCAAGCCTTTGTATACAATGGAGGTGTATGAGGACACTCCCATGGGGACAATCATAGGGGCAGTGACAGCACAAGACCTCGATGCTGGCAGCAGTTCGATTAGGTAAGAAAGCTTTTCTTCCTTCAGTCACTCTCAGGCAGCCCAAACTGCTGTTGACACTGGATTCAGTAGCAAAGAGCTTAGTAAGAAGACAGAAATTTTTTAAAGTCTGTCACAGTGACAGGTAAATGCTGCTAAAATAAAACAAAACAAAACAAAACAAAATTGAAAAGAAATGCTAGACACGGTTTCAGAGATTGTGTCCTGAGACTAAGGAAGTAAAAACATTTTGTTTGTCTGATGTCAGGATCTTACACAAAAGCTGCTCTGAAAAGTGAAAAAGCAGGTGTCAACAGGTGTCAACAGGTGACAGCAAGTGCTGCCCCTTTCACAGAAACCACTCAGTCTTTACTTCCAGCAAAGAACAAATTTTTTAATAAATAATTGTTACATCTGTCTTGGCTGAGATGGTGAGGATGTGATTGCTGACCTACATGGCTGTGCTCAGCAGCCCTTAGCTTGCCAGCAAAACCTTCTGTTTACTGGTACAGCTTGCTTTCCTGAAATAAGAGAGAGAGAGAGGAGCTACTATACAAATGTAATGTATTGATTTTGCTCACGTATTTCCAGCCTTGCTAGAAATTTTGAAGTAAACCAGAGTTATGCACCAACAAAGAAGCTCCTGTGCAAAAATACTGTAAGGTATAGGAAGTCATTATGCATACTTCCAGTGCAAATCTATGCTGGTTGTACAAATTTATGCTGGATCTACTTGACTTCAGGAAATATTTTCAGTTGCAGAATGTAAAAAGCAATACCACAGATGTAATAGAAGTCTTCAACTTTTGAATATTAATGGTTATCAGATGGAACTATGATCAAATAATAAAATGTTACTCTTGGCTATGAAGTATACAGACATTACTGCAGGCATAACCATTCAAAGTTTGTATTCCAAATGAAATAATAGATTACAAATTTAATTTGGACTATTTAACATAATCCATGTTTATTAACTATGTATATTTTAACTCAATATTGATATTCCTAAAATGCAAAATGCGTTTTAGGTTATCTGTTGTATTCCTTTGAAAAAATGTAACGTGAAAGTGTCCAGCTCCTGCTTCATTAACCCACTATTAATCATTGCTTAAATATTACTATTGTTGTTTGCTCCCGTTTTTTAAAAATACATCCTTAATTATTTTCTAATACAGAAAAGTATTTAGTTGTGGGTCTGTGTCACTTTGCTGTCCTGTCAAAGAATTAAGACATTCTACAACAAAGGCAATGATGGGAACCTTTTCCCCCAGTGATAGCCTAACAAAATAGTCCCACTGTGTCACTGAAAACAACGTTGTATCTTGAAACCAGATAGCAATCTCTGTAATCACATTGTTGAGCAGTTTTTTGTACGACAGGAGAATCATCATTTCTCAATGGAAGATTTGTTTGTTTTCTACACAACTCCCTGCTAGGAGATTCAAGTATTTTAAATACCGGTTTGCAACTACACAGGAGATATCACCATTTCAAGGTGGTTTCTCCATACATAGAGCCCAGTAATACTGAATCCTAAGCCATTCTTAGGTGTTCAGGCAAATTTTTTTAATCCTGAAATAATTATTTGGGGGTCCAAATTCTCATTTATGGTTAAAAAATGAGGAATATTACAAAATAGTCTTGTATTCCAGCCTAACTTTTCTACTTACTGACCATGAGCACTTGCAAACTATAGAACTACTCCCAGCTTTACCTACTGAATTCAGATGGTTCATGAGTGAAAGATATGAACTGTGATCTAGTATTAGAGATTTCTTAGAGGGGCCTGTTCCTACCTAGAATTAAGTCTCACATTGTATTCAATGGACTTTGGAGGGAGGTACTTTGCTTTAAGAGAAGAGATTAGTTCCAGCAAGTCAGGTGACATTCAGTAAAGATTAAGCTAGAAATCTCTCTGTGCAGTTTTCTTAGTCCAGCTTTTTAAGATGACTTTAATTTCTATAAATTTTCACATGTCAATCCTGAAATCTCTCATTTAGTTCTCATTTATCTGAGGATAGATTTGATTCTCCATATGGAATTTGATCTTCTGCAGTTCGAATTCAGTGATAAACCTTGTACTAATCCAATAGAGGTCTGATTGTGATTTTTGCCCTGGAAGAAATTGCCTGTATTCAAGTGCTGACTTTTTATCCAAGTAAAAATTTTTTACTGTTGTATTAGTGACCAATAGTCCATGAGTTTAATATTCTTAATACATATGAAGAAATTCAATGATTGTAAGTTAGAAAGACATAAATTTGGTTCAAAACATTGCATGTGGTTATAATTTTGAAGCTCACCTTAAGTGATTACTGTCTTTCAGCTGTTTAAAATGTAGTTTGTCTCATAGATGTAAAGAATGGCTGCAACAGTTTCTTCATGTTTTAAGGAGGAGTCTGAACATGTTCCAAGTAAATATGCTATCTAAACAAACATGGAAAAGCAAGTGATGTTCTCTGAGGCAACAGACCATGCCATTTTCTGGGTGGCATAGTCTCTATACCAATTAGTTCAATTTCTCTGAAATGTTTTCCTACAGCAGTTTGGCCGTTAAGATACCCATTACAATGACAACAAAGTCAACAACCTGCCAAACAATAGATGGGGAAAAAAGACAAATCTGCACTGTATGCAACAGAAGGCAAAATTCTGGGAAACAAAGCTCACATGAAAGGAAGCAGAACAATGTAATCCATGTCATCTGACAAAAACTTCTTTAGCTAGACTTATCAGGAAAGGGGAGATAACAGTAAGAATGAAGACTGTAAGAAAAATATTTTGCTGGAAGCCATTAAAAACATTCAGGACTGTATACTTCTCTTTTTTCCTGTAAATGGAACCAAGTTGTAAGAACAGGAATTTTAAACAAGTTTGTTTTGCTGGATGGTATTTGCTAGGAAAGATAAAATGAAGAGCAGAGCACACAATCAGTAAAAAACAAGAAACTAAGCATGAGGAGAAAAGGGGCCACAAGTATTCAGCACCTGCAAGGGTGACTGTCTTTGAAGCTATTTTGGAGCATTACTCCACAGCACCTGATTTTCAAACTGCATTAAATCTGGAGTTTATTTATCTCAGAAGAGCTATTTTGTCAATTTCTATTTTCTCCACAGTGCTGCAAGAAATGATCTGCGTAAGCGCTAAGATTAAGTCTTAAGTACTTTGCGGACATTAGAAATCCCAAAGCCCTTCTGAAAAGAACAATGAGCTCATGCTGTTCTCAGACTCCTTGTTTGCAATGATTGTAAATTGTCTATGAGGGAAAAAAAAAACGTGTCGTGAAGCTCATGATAATGTGTGTTATTTATGAGTATGCAAATGTTTTAAAATTCATTACTTCTGGTGCAAGGGATGCTAGAACTTTACAAAAATCACTTCTGCATGCATACATACTTTATGGATGCTAGAGACAGGTATTTGAACAACAACAAATTAAAATGAATGGCAAAACAGTGTTAGATGCAATGCTATCTAGAATAGGGAACTTTATCTAACATTGTATGTGAAGTTTAGCAAATTTACACCAACACCTTTGAAGTTGTCAGATTTCCTAGGGTCTGATCTTCTGGCAGAAGACATGAAAGGATTTTTGCTCCTGGTGTGAACCCCAGATATGACTCCAATTACAATGAGTATAATATTCCTAGCCATAGAACTGCCCTTCAGATCTCTGTTTGACTCAGGAGCTTTGTCTTACAAACCAGGAGAACCACTCAAAGTAAGAAAGCTGTGGGAACTGAATTATCCTGCCCAAGTTTAGAATCAGGGAACCATGATATTAAAAGATAAATAAATCATGTACTAGACACAGGTCAGTCCTTCTCTTAGTATCTTGGGATCAAGACCATTTTGCCAGCATGAGCTTCCAAAGAAAAAGCCGTATTTATTTTCAGAACTGGTTCACTCTGGTTCAGAAATTGTTATGGGTAGGGTCTGTTTTCACAGTGCAATGCTTTGTCAAATAAAGACTAGGAAAATAGAAATAATAAGTTTTTTCCTTAAACTGTATTTTTAATGTTCAAGCAAAGGCAAGATAAAGTTACCTGTGTAACAGGATATTACTCGAATTTCTAATCCCATAGATCTTCTGAATTGTTTATGTGTGTGTGTATGTGCACTTTTTATATTTGCTTTTTCTTCAAAGCAATGACTCCTATGACATCAAAATGTTTCTCATAGCTGCATATATACATGGAAAAACTGGAAGGTTTGTTTCCAGCACCTCATGCATTTAATAGCAGATTAAGCAACAGCTACTTTTCTCTGCATGGTATTGTGCTCGAGGGAGACACTGCCAGTTGGTTTTGCTTAGATAAATGATGGCGGGACTTAGGAATTTGGTTTAATTTTTATTGTCACTAGTGCATTCTACACACTGTTCTGTTGTCCTGTCTGTTTCTGTCACCACACAAGCTCTACTCCATCCATCACCTTTATTGAAGTCCCAGTCTCCTCAACTATTTTTCAGACCTCTGCTTTAAGTTTTAATTTATCCAGTCTAACCAATTCAGATTCTTGCACCAGTATGTCTCAGCTCCTGCTCCAGATTGTTATCATTTCTAATCCTCTTACTGTTTTCTTCTATCTTTTATGATATATCTAATACCAGTCTCCTATTTTAGGGTTCATCTTTCTCTCTTGCTCACCTGGTTCTTTTTCCTCCTGAGCCACATCCCTTTAGCTTACAGTCCCACTTTGCTGCCTTTTTTCCTTGTGCTAATGACAGATACCTTTTTTTTTTCTTTTTTTTTTTTTTAAATTTCATAGGATTGTTCTTTTTTTCCTCTTTGTTCTGGATACTTCAATATTATTTCTACATTTCTAGAAAAAAAAAAAAGTTTATTTTCCCTGTATCCCAAGGGATACTGTCATATTTGATCCTTCCCCAACAATATCTCTAATTTGAAGTCTCATTTGGCTCAGTGATCATTCAAGTACTATATATACACATTTCCATCTGCCTACCTTCAAGCAATGCTGGATAACTAACCTACTTCCTCCTCCTATTTCTCCCTCCT